TATATATAATAAAAATATATATGTTATATATATATATATATATATATATAAAAGATCTTTTGTCATGTTAAAAGCGTAAAACTAAAACCAACTGGCTGCTTTATTGTGATTTTTTCAAGCTTACTTTACTGTGATGTTAAGCCATTATGAAGCCATGGATTTATCTAATTTCTGGGGAGGAGTTAAATGGGTTGCAGAAAGCTCTACCCAAGGTCTGCTTTTTTCCGTATTTATTACTATGGAGGCAGTCATAACAGGGCTAAATGGCTCCTTTCTGTGCTATCTCCATCTGCTGCTCCGAGGTATAGCACAGCTTTCTTGAGGAATGTTGAGTGCATTTTCCTTCAGGTAGACAAAGAACTTGTTGGGGAAAGAGGAGTGTTTGATGCAGGGGTATAAAACGAGTGTCAGAAGCTGATCAGCACGTGATCAGGGTCTTGGTTAGAAGAGCTGTGGAGGCCTCGAGTGGCGTTTGCTGGTGGCAGATCCTAGTCCAGTGGAAGGCCACGGTTGCCCGCACGCTGTGGTGTCACCCTCGGAGCTCCTCGCTGCTGGTGGTTGTGGGGACCAGACTCGTAAATGAGCAATGTGTGAGAAGGGCTGGTGGTGTTATGGAATTTTCATAGGAATTTGGCATCTGAAATTCCTTGTTTTATTTACTGCAACCTCAGATCTTCAGAGAAGAGACTTGGAAGAGCAAAAGATGAGAATAATGCAAACTGCAACCTGTAAATGCACTTATAATTGAAAATGGTAAGGCGAGCAGGTGCTGCTCTAAAGGGCATATAGGAAAAAATGTTCTGAAGTAAAACAGTAATTTAACAATTTGTTACGCTTACTTTTGAATAACAGGAGATACAGAAAAGCTAAATCAGTCTAACTTAGGCAGAACCTAAGCAGACACACCTGTCTCAAACTGACCTACTGCAGTTTTGTTTAAAAGAATTTAGTCTCCATCTTTGGTCCTTATTTTTGAAGAAAAGGGAGATTTGTGGGAGAATCGCATCAATCCTTGGCTTCTTTGGGGGAAATCATTATAATGGGTGGCCAGAGGCTGTTCCAGGAGGTTTCTGCTTTGCATCTGCTCTGGTGGTGTCTTCCTTTAACCCCACTGGGGCCTGAAGTTGGCTGCCTAAACCCAGGATGGAAATGTTCTATATGTAATCCTTTATTTACCTCTTGAAAAGTGTTTTTTTTTTTTTTTTTTTTCTGAAGGGTTCTGTTGGTTTATAGAGCTTTTATTTATTTGTGTTCTTGCTTCTCTTGAACAAGGGGATTTTCTTTTCTTTTGTGTTCAGGTGGACCCACCTAACCAAGAAGTGCCTATAATGACTTTTATGTTGGGTGTGCACAGTTTTTTCCCCTATTCAGACTGCTGTGCTTTATTTCTGATTGTCTTTGGCTGTTCTTGTCAGTGTGAATTTCCTGGCTGTTGCCGACGTGTGATAACATTGTGAAATCCCATAAATAGGTATCAAGGATCTCATCCAAATGTTTACAGAGATATAATTTTCCTTTTTTTACAGAGACTTTCAGGATCTCAATAGATAAATTAAATATTACATGATGAGGGGCTGGTATTTTGTATTTATTGAGGCTTCTGTGTTTAATGCTCGAGTGAGGGGCCTTTGGGAGAACTAAGGGTAAAGACTAGTTTTTATGACATGGACTCTAATTACTTGCTGTAGTGTTTGAAAAAATATGTAAATAGAAATCAATCAAAACTCAGGTGACTTCAGAAGCCATGGCAATATTGATGGGGTTATGTCCCCTAGGTCAAGGAACAGGGAATTTGCCAAAGCTCATTTTAGCTCCCTGTTAGTGGTGTGTACAGCACTCTCCTGCGGTCACTTATAAGCTGTATTTTTTTTTTTAAGTGTGATTATAGCTTTGCAGAGCATGAATTTGTTGTAACGTTTGTTTCCTAGTACTAAAATGTGACATTTGAACCTGTGTTTTCTCCAATTAATGAAGCTCTAATATCTCCTGTGTCTTTTGAGTGCACATGGATGAAGCTACTGAATCTGGGAATTCTTGTAACCTTTTAATTAAGTTCATAGTCTGCCTTTCTAGAAGTTGGTACTTCATGTAATTTTCTATTAAGCTCGTAAAATAAAACTAACAGCTAATAAAATTATCAAAAGTAACTCAAGAGGCCAACTTATATTAGCTTAGTGGGAAATGTGTTACCCGCCAAAGGAGTCTTGTACATCTCCTGCTTCTGAATTGACAGTGTCGGGGAATAAAATCTACCGAATACCAAAAAAGCCACCAAAATGAGATACAGCAGTAAAGCACAGATCTCCTCTGCACTGCTCCCATTTGTAATGTTGCTTTTGAATTTTCAGAGTAGCCCTTTTGGGGCTCGAGCAGCTGAGGTTTTCCAGTGGGAATGGAAGTTGCACTGGACAACTAGTCTTGTATTGGCCGTTAAAATCCTTTACATGGTATCTTTAAATCACCAGGTTTGTTTTTGAAATAAGTCACCCGGATGTCAAGTTCCATTTCTCATAATGTCTTTTCTCCCTGTAATTCCTCATCAAATTAAGATAGTTTGTCTTTGGAGGTAATGAACATGTTGGTAAAAGTACTTGTGGCTGGGATGTAATTTTTAATAACTTCTCCAGCAAAGGTATTTTGTTTGAATGAATCATTTACAGAGCTTTAAGTGGAATACTTAAATATTTTTAATTTGAAAACTTTACCCTCTTTAAAAAAATATTTTGAGTTGCTATTGTGTTTTTGTAACTTAAATCTAATTTTTATACTTTATACTAGAAGATAAAATGTGTGCATAGTGTAATTATTTTATTTTAGATGCATTTTATGAGTCAAAAAGTGGGGCTTTCTAGTAATGCTATAAATTTAAAGCTGTCCTACAGCAAGGTAGTACAATGCAAATATGACTTAATAAGATCACAAACTGAATTTCAGCAAAACAACCAAGATTTACATTAAATTAGGAATTTTAAAACTGATTTAGTTTGTTTTACTGAGCATTTGCTTAATAACATTTTGCCTTCTTGCAATCTTTTTAAAGACAATAATTCGTCTGTGAAATGCAGGCACATCCTCAGTAGAAAAATTGAAAGCAACAGCTCACTTTCTGAAACCACACATATAGTGATATAAAGAAATATTTCAGCTCCACGAAATTTAATAAATCATCCCATTTCCTAATTTGATCATATTAGATGCTGATGTGGAAGAAGCATTTCAAATACCATCTCATTAATATACATCAGTCTGGGGAATAGAATGGAATACTTATGCAGAGATGTCACAGTTACTGTTTCTTAGTTTACTAAGTGGAACAGGTTGATGTGATACTGGGTGCTATTTGTCAATGTCTTGCTAAAATGGTTTGGGTCGAGTTATGGAGTCCAGAAAGACGGCGGCTGATAAATCAAAAGTGGATTGAGTGGACAGGAGGCAGTGATTGATACTGTGACAGGATATGAAGAAAGGAATCTTGATACCAGCATGCATGATATTGAATATGAGAAGGAAAATGGCCCTGGAGTATGGATATTATTCAAGGAAATGAGAATAATAATATCATCTTGAAATTA